CTGTTTTTTTGTTTTTAATGTTTTGTTTTGTTCACTTTTACAATTTCTTACATGTATAGTGGATATGAGTCCTTTGTAGGACAAATATTTCATAAATTTCCTCTGTGCCTTGCCTTTCACTTTCTTAATGGTGGCATTCGATGGGGGAAAAAAAACTCATGTACAGTAGGTTGATAGTAGGTACAAGTTTTCCTATCTTTAAACTACTTTGATCAGGGACAGATTCTTTGAGTTCCTTACCTCACTCACTTTCATTTATGAAAATTCAAGTCTTGATGGTATCTACTCTAACCCTAACCCTTGCTTTGATCTAGAGCCAACCTCCTCACCCACCATGCAACTAGCCCTTGGGCACTTCTGCCTCCTCCTGGATGTTTGTCCTGTGTATTCATTCCTGTCCTGTCCTGACCCTCTGCTCCCTTCCTCAATCTCCTGGGTTTCTAACCTTAGTGACAAAATCCAGCCTCTGATTTTGATGACTTGGCAGACCTAGCATGCAGTATTCCTACCCTCTGGGACTTTCAGACCGTGGCTCTGCTTGGCTAGGTCCTGGTCCTGGGATCCCATCTAGCTTTAGATACTTGGCCAGTCCCACTGCCAGGTTTGCCCCTGCTTCCTGGAAGGGAGGAATCAGACTCCGGGAACTGAAGTAAAAATTGGTACTGCTGTTGATCAGAGAACAATTATTCCCTGCCCAGCTCCATCACTATCTAATCCATGAGAGAGTACATGAGAAAATATCCTTATCTTGAAGTGCTTTGCAGTCTTCTTGGGGAAGGTAAGATATCTAAGAGGAATAGAAATTAGAGAAGAACATAGGATGTCAGATACTATCAAGGGCTAGTTTGATGATGAGTTCCAGAAATTCAAGAAGTGAGAAGACACGGGGCTGGGGAAGTTGGGGAAGTGGCAATGAGGTGGAACTTGGGCAGGAGGAAGAGTGAGGGAACCTGCAAAGCGTAAGCTGAGATGGGGGTGGGGGGCAGGCCAGTGAAAAGCCTGGCTGGCTTGGGTTGGGGAGACTGTATGAAGCTGGGGAATGAGATGGAAAAGGTCAGGGTCGGGCCAGACTTGGAAAGTCTTGAAGGTCAGATAGAGGCATCTGGGGCTTTATTCTGACGGGCAGAGGAAACTTTAGTAGCTCTGAGGAGAGGCGAGACATGATGAAATTGTTTTAAGGATGAACAATTAAGAGTTTGCAGAGGAGATTGGGGAGTAGGGAGAGGGATGTAGACTTCAGATTTTTAAAAGCATGAAAGGCAAATTGATGATTTTAGGGGTATTTGTTATTTTTGTCACGCGCCCTTCATGTTACCCTGTTTCAATGAAAGATCCCTAATTCCCTCTGGGGAAGCTCTCCACTTTCTCTATGGCTGAGAGTATAGATGATACAACTTTTCTGGAAAAAAATTTGGCAGTATATTTCAAGAACCTTAGAAATGTTTATATTTTTGACCTGTAACTCCACTATGAGGAATTTTAACAAATATTTATATATACAAGGTATTTATCACAGTAATATTTCTAAAAGCATTAGGGAAACTCTAAGGAGGAGGAAGTATTGGCATATCTACTGGATGGGATATTATGCAAAGTTGAAAAGGATATTGAAGAGTTCTTTTAATTTAGGGGGTGGTTTTGTAATAAACCTACATGGTACAAATTCAGACGTCCCAAAGGAAATGAAAAGCAGGCCTCCTTCCCTCCTGTTCCTTCAGCCCTGATCCCCTCCTTAGAGGGAACCATTTAAAATTGTGTATGTGTTGTGTGTGTGTGTGTGTTTGTGTGTGTTCTTTTTCCTCTCCTCCCAAATGGCAGCTTGTTTTTTTTTCACTTAGTAATATATCTGGTGATTGTTTTATATCAACACACAAAGGACTTCCTGAATTAATATTTTATTGTATAGATATATGACTATTGAGCTGGTTCCCCCATTGATGGGCATTTTGTTATTAGAATAAGGTTAGAATAACCATGCTGCTATGAATAACTATACATATTTCACTTTGCACATATTGAAAATATATCTGGAGGGTAAATTCTTCAACATGGAATTGTTGGGTCAAAAGATAGGTGCATTTAAAATTTTGATGACCAAATTTCTCTTCAGAGATTTTTGATTTTTATGTGTAAGAGTGTCTGTCTATTTGGCTAGTACTGTGTGCTATCAGATGTTTTGTTAGGGAAAAATGAATTTACTTTAGAAAATGCTTATGAAATATTAAGTTTAAAAAGCAAGACTCAAAATTTACGTTTGTAAGAGCTTACCCATACAGATGTATATTATTGGAAGAGATTATGACCCAACATAACGGGGTTAGCCTAAAAAAACTTATGACTTAATTTAATTATTTAATAATTATTGAGGTAGTGCTTTTTCAGTAAAATATCCCACATTTTACTTACCTTTTTATCCACACCTGTCCAGATGATGAGCTTAATTGAAAAGGAATGAGTAGTTTTCACTTTCCCGCAGCGGGACTACCATTTGCAATCTTGCCACCAGGTGGTAGAAGAGGGTTAAAATTCCAGGATCTTTGCTTGCTTCCCCAGGCCTGGGCTTCTGGGTGGGCATGACCCATATCTTGGTACCCTTGACTTTGATCCTTTCTTGAGCACCTACTCTACTCAGTGGGGAGCTGCATTAGGAGTGACGTTGGTCTTTGGCTCCGGCTTTGTTTCGAAGGGAAGGGCTCGAATCCAGTTCTTTGTGCCTTAGGTGATCTTGGGCAAGTCATTCAGACTCTTCGGGCCTCACTTTTGGCTCAGGGAGTGTAGCACTGGCTAAACTTTGCCCCAGATCATCACGCTACCACAAAGCAGGGATGGGTCTGACTTGTCTGGGGTTGTTCATATGAGGGTGGAAGAGTGCAGGGAAAACAAGGAACCTCTGGGCTCCTACTGCAAGTGGGATTGGTGGAGAAGGGTCTTGGGTCTTGAAAATGGAGAGGAGGAAGTCGGGAGGAGCTGAGCCCCTGGGTGCCTTGCAAGGACCCCATTAAGGGACCTGGAATAAGTGGAAACCGTGTCAATGTCCCTTCCTTGACTTTTGGAGTAAAACCTGCCCAGGGGTTCATCTGTAACGGGCGCACATGGGGTCGTGCACACGACTCACTGAAGCTTCTACACCTCACACCGACACCCAGTCCACGCGGCCTCTGGTCAGGAGGGGGCTCCTTCCACCACCCCGCTGACCCTGGGTATCTCTGCGAGGAATTCGGTGGGGAGGGTGGGGGCTTATGGGCAGGAACGAAGCCGAAGTCTGGAAGTCTGCAGGACCAGCTCCTTCCAATCCTCGAAGGTTCCCGGAAGGAGGGCGGAATTTAGGCTCACGACCTGGTCTTTACGTGACGCCGCGGGGTTTTAACCCGCTCAGGTCTCGGCGCGAGGCGCGACAGCGGCCCGGCCCTGCAGTCCCACGCGGGGAGGCGGCGCAGAGCGCGGGCCCGGGCCGCCGGAATCGGGCGTGGTTTAGGACCCGGGGCGGGCCTCCGCGCGGGCGGCGCGACTCCGAAGTTGGGCTCGGGGCCGCGGCGGTGACCGCGGCAGTGACCGTCAGGCCTCCGGCCGCTGGCGCCCGGTTCCGCTCTCGTCCGCACCCCGACGCGCGCCGGCCATGACGGGCTCACTGTTCCGGGCGAACTTCTGGGTAAGTGGGCGCGGCGGCGGCATCGCCGGGCACGGAGTTGGCCGGGCGGGAGGCGGCCCCCGCTCCGCGCGGCTCGGGGACCGAGCGCGGCGCCGCGCCCGCGGCTCCGAAGCGCCGGGCAGGCTGTGGGGCCCCGGGTCGGAGCGGACGCCCCGCCGCTGTGCTCTCTCTGCCGCCCCTGCTCCCAGTCGCGCGGGGCTCCCATAGACTCGGGACACCCACCCCGCATCTCAGAGGAGAAAACCGAGACCCACGGAAGGGAGCGGCCCGCCCGGGGAGAGTGGCCGGTGGGTCTGGAGGCTGCACCTTGAGCGGATGTGGGGGGCACCTGAGGCGAGCTTGACCGGCGGAGAGTGGCTGTCACCCCCTGGGGGGTGGTCTTTCCCAAGTCCACCAAAATGAAAGCGCCGACTTTCCGTTGCAGACCCTGAGGGGTTTCTGCAGAAGCTTTGCCCTACCAGGCAGCCTGTTGCCTGAGCCCCCTCCCCAGGCCCTCACCCCACCCCAGAGGGAGGCCGAGGCAGGTGTGAGACCCCGGAGCTGTTGGGGGCATCCAAGCCGGGAGGACGGGGGCCAACCAGGAGGCAGCGACCCGGCCTGACCCCTTCTTCTGTCCGGTCCTCTTCGCCTTGTCCTCTCACTCCCTAGGGGCCCCTCAAGGGTCTAATCCCTCATCCGGCGGAACGCCCTCATCCCTGCAGGGCCGTGGGTAGCATGCCTCAAAGTTGACCTACAGCTGCCAAGCAGCACCAGCTCCTCACCTGGGGCCCTGCTTGCCCTCTATTTACTTCCCGACTGCCATGTAGGTCCCTGCCCTCCATTGTGGGCTTCTGGGTGGAGAAACCTGCCTCTGTGGCCTCAGGGACAGAGTTTGGACTTGACCTTGTGAGGTACCTTTTCTTGTAGTTTTTGAGGCTCCCCTGGAGCACTGCCCACCAGCTTCACAGAGAAGGTGAACAACCTCACAGTGGCCCTGCCAGGAGGCCTGGGAATCCTTCAGGTAGAATATAGGACTTTTCAGTCCCATGACAGGCATTGTGCAAAAAAGCAGGGCAGAGAGACCTGCCTTTCCCTTCCTCAAAGTATGACACCCAGTTTTTAGATATTGGTCCAAATGTCACCTCTTCAGAGAAAGCTTTCTTGATTGCGCTCAGTAGGCCCTGCCATCTGCGGAACGCCTTGTGGACAGTACCGTGCTGGCTTTCAATGCACCTGCCCCTGCCCAGGCCTTCACACAGCACTTGCACAACAAACAGCTACTGAGTGATTGAAGTGGGTCTGTAAGGCTGACAGGACCTGTGAGGGGGTGAGAGCTGCAGCCTTCATCCTCAGAAGGCTCCCAGGTCCCAGTAAGGCAGCTCACCAGCTCTTCTGATACATACTTGCAGGAGTGGTTAGGGGAGGAGGCAGAAATGAGATCTGGGTTAGGAGTCAGAGGTTGGATGATGGTCTGTGGGAGAGAACTTCCTGGGTTTATACTTTTCCCCCCTCTGGCCTTATAGGTTCAGAAAGTGTCTGAGATCCTGAGAGGGAGTTTGCAAAGGTGTTTTCCATCTCTAATCTCCTGTAACACTTTATGTCAATAATAAAAACAAGCTGACATTATTGTGCACAGAGTCTGTGACAACACCATTCTAAACATACAAGTCATTTAAGTCTCAAAACTACCCTATGGGGTAAATTATTTACTATCCCATTTTACAAACAAGAAAACTGAGTGGCAGAGAGGTTAAGTAACACCTAGAGCTGTTAAATAGTGGAGCAGGACTCTGCATGGACCAAATGCTCAGTGAATGCCTCAACAAAGCTGGCGCCCAGCACAGCTGTCTGCAACACCCCTTTGACACTGCCAGATGTAGATGGATGGTGGGTCATCATCTGACTCTTCCTGTGAACATCTTTCTCTTCCAGCTCCAGCCGTGAGCTCCTGGAGGGTAGGCCCTGGGTGTCACCATCAGTTGAGTCCCTATCCCTGTGTGGTCCCTTGCATTTGGATGCTCAGGAATCAGGCAGATGGAGCTGTCAGCCAGGCCTAGGGGAAAAGGGGCAAAAGGGAGCCTGTTGGGGATCTCAGGGCTTGCCTGCAATGCCTCCCTGCCCTTGAGAGCGGGTAGCAGAGGCAAGGCTTTTATTAACACAAAGGGGAGTAACTCTCTTGTTTCCAAGGATGAGAAAATTGTGTTTAGATAAGGTAGAAAACTTCAGAAACTAAAATGGGTATCAGTTGACTGAATTTAGTATTTGTGAAATACCTTCTCTGTATAAGGAGCTGTAAAATGGAGGTGGCATTTGCAGCGTAAGAGCACCACCTTGATTGGAAGGTAGATTCCTATGAGGAAGCGAGGTGGGGAGGGTGGGCTTTGACCTTGAATGCCTGGCCTCCAGGAAGTGGAGGAGGAAGGGGCAGGGGCCAGGGAGAGTCCAGCAGGGGCCAAGGGTACAGGGCCAGGGTTAGAAGGGGTCTGTTCTAGGGTGGAGACCGTAGGGAGGGGAAAGGAGGAGATAGGTGGGAGGAGCACAGAGGGTAGAAGTCAAAGCCACAGGACAAGGCAACCAACTGAAGGTTGGCAGTGGGGAAGGAAGGAGGGTTTAGAGGAGGGTTTACACCTCTGTGTAAGGTGGACTAGACAGTGAGGTGTGGGCCCTAAAAATAAGGAAGTCAGGAGGAGGAACTGGTTGGTGGGGAGAGGAGGAGGAGGAGGAGGAGGCAGAAGCGACATTAACAATATTTAACCACAGGGGTAGCACCGGGAGGACCAAGGGCAGCAGCATCCTGAAGCCCCCATAGTCCACAGCACTACGTCTGGATTGCTGGATATGGGGAGGTCCTGAGAAAGGGAGGGTCTTTGGAAAGGGACAGCATGCCAGTTGGCAGGCTTTGGAACTATCTTAAATGTTTTACATTTATCATATAACAACCAGTGCAAACACACCTGGCCACTCTCTGAGGTCTGGTGGTCAACATCCTGGGTTTGAGGGTCTGGTGAAAATAGCCCCAGCCTGTTGGAAAAGCTCTGAGGTGAACTGACTGGGTTTGAATCCTGGTTCTGCGCCTTAGAACTGGGTGACCTCAAGCAGTCAGTTTACTTCAACACCCCTCCTCCCAAACCTTAGTTTTTCCATGTAAAAGTGGGGATAATAACAGTGTCTACTCTATAGGAGCGTTGTGAGGATTAAATCAGAGTTTAGTATAGTGCCTGGCACATAGTAAGCAGCTGTGACTGTCAGCTATTATCATCAGCACAGATGTGGCAACTATAGGAAATGAGTGACAGTCACTCAAGGAGAAAGAATGAAGAGGAAAGAAGTTCCCAGGAAAGCAATCTTGGTGAATACCTGTGTTTAGGCAGGAGGAGAGGGGGCAGAGAAAGAGAGGCAGAGACTTGGAGATACAATCAGGAAAGAGCCATCTCAGGCCCAAGAGAGGAAGCTTCCGTGGAAGTTGAGAGGCCCATAGTCAAATGAGGTAAATATTCAGAAAAGATATGAGTCAGCACACCCTTTATAAATAATGATATTCAAATGCCTCATGGAAATACTTAAAGGAATCTTTTCACTGGATCTCTTGAAAAGAGAATACTCAGTGTTCTTTAAAACTGGGATGGTCCCCAGCTGGTTGGTCTGACATGAAGCAGCCTGCACGTTTTGTCCCTCCCACCCTGCTCTGTGCACACCTTCGTTAATGGCCCTGTGGTTAAGTGGTGCTGTGTCATTGGTCTCGGTTGATGTAGCTACTCCCTAGTCAGAATAAGACAGTGACCACGGATGTGGTTTCCAGAACTCCAGGGAAGTGGCTGGGCCACAGTAAAGGAAAATATGCCAGACACAAGTGTCTTCCAGATGTGGACATTCATGGGTGACTGCAGAACCCGTTCCAGAAAAGGTAGATGTCCCCCACCCTGAGAGATTCCCACGTTCTTTGCTTAGGTGTGAGGCCCAGCCTAACCCCAGACATCCTCTAGATCCTTATTTTGACCAGGACTTCCTGATTCTGAGGGTTCTTGGTCCAGACCAGCTTCCAAGTCAGTCATCCCAGCCCTCTCCCCTAACCTACTTGCAGTGTACAGGGCCTCTCTTGTTGTCTGGGGAGTGACTAGAGGAAGTTTTGGCTTTGTTTGAACTTGCTCCTTGCTGTGTTGTTGACCCAGGGCTGTTCTTCTGTCCCAAACCTTTGGCCAGTTTGAATCTTGTCATTCTGGTGACTTACCAGAGCATATGCATTGGTGCTGCATCCGGCTTTGCTCAACGACTTCTCTCCATACAGTGCCCTAGATCAGTACAGGAAGCTGCTTTTCTTTTCTTTTTTTTTTTTTCTTAAATAAGCAGAGAAGGAACCAGGTTATTATGTAGAACATTCATGCAAACTCCATGTGCTATTTCTTAACAATATTTAGGCTGTTGCTGTAAGTTTTAATACTCCTTCTTGGAAACTGGGCTCTAGAAACACACCACATGGGCTATTTTGTGTTGTCTTGACTAGCAGCAAAAGTCAAGGTAAAGTCATCAAGTACCCTTCTCCAACTCATCCTTCCTAGAACAGCTGTGGGGTCTGTCTTTAAAATTATCAAAATCCTTTTTTCTTGTTTTATATTCCTAAAAATTTACTAAGAGGTGTAGGACCTCTCTTTTAAGAAAAGTAAAAAATTCCACTTTTTCTCAGCAGCATTATGCAAAGACTGCTCTTTTTTTCTGGTAGTTACCACCACTTTACAAAGCAATATGCTTACACTGCTCTCTGTTGATGGAGATAGAACAGTTTTAAATATCTGTTGACTTACTGCTGTAATAGAGGATTTGGCTCTTCTGTGTCACACCTCTACTTCCTTATATAATTATATCAATTATACAATTGTATCTTCCTGCCTAAACTAATTTTAACTTGTTATTTAGAAATAATTTCAAAGTTACAGAAATCTCAAGAGTATAAGAATTCACATATGTCTTTCAGATTCCTCAGTGTTAAACCCCATTTGCTTTATTAGTCTCTCTTTTTCTCTTTC